TAAAACAATGTCACTAATTGCGGCATTTTAGATGAAGCAGTTTCCCTATTGTAGATTGCAAATTCATTGAATATTTGCTTTTTATTTTCTCCACTACTGCTCCGACAAATTTGTAATCTCTTTTGGCATTGGCTGCGATTGATTGTTAAACAAGCAGTGCTACCATCCATCCAGCACCATAGATAACAATATCAGATTGTGAACCCATTCAAATTCGGTTCTTTTTTTCTCTCTTCGGGAGTCTTTATTGTTAGGTCTGTCCGTGGGATGGGAATTCCACTTTATCATTTAGGTACAAGTTTCGGTATTGCATAACTTATGGCTGCAATGTTTCCGAGAAACTTTTATAAGAAAATAAAACAAACAATAATGAAGCATGCTTTGAGAATTCAATTCATTGGAAGAAAATAATATGACCAAAGAAATGCCTCTGTATTATTTTACTAGGCAATTATTTCGGAGACTAGTTCTCTAATTTGAGTTTCTTTTCATATCTTAGATGAAGTATTTCACTAAATTACCCTAAATGGTTGGTTCAAGAAATATAAATATATTGCTTATGTGTTACAGTCTGTATTTTCCTTTTTAATGCTAGGTTGTAAATATTCGCATGTTATTTACTTTTAACAATAAGACGGTATAATCCAACTACTATCAATTTACATCAGTTGTATGAAATGTTTTTTTTATATTACGTCATGTGTGTGTGTGAAGTTGCAGCTGATTCTATAGTATGTGGAATTGTTTTCAATGTTGAATGTACATGTGATGAGGACAAGCGAGAATATATATGTGTCGCCATATATTCTTTTTTAAAGTTATTGATATGTAAATCCTACTATTAAGCTTCCAATTGCATTCAAAAATATTCTTATAGCTTTTGTATCTTGATTGTAAAAGAAAAGGTCTTAAATTTCCATACCGAAGGAATATTTTTGTACACGTCCGCAATCCCCCCTCCCCTCCCCATATGGGGGTCGTTGTACGTTAAACACGTTCTTAGAGGACCTCTACTCAACAAAACTACAGCTAAATACCAGGCAGATTTCGTCTGTAGATCTAATTAAAAAAGGGAATTTTCCTCTTATTTGTAATGCTCTCTCAACTCCTCCCACTTGGAATTCTACTTTTCCCAAGCCCCTTCTTAGCTGATTCTACTCAACAAAAGATGCTTGCTTTCCAAATTAAAAGTTTGTATTTATGTGTGTGTCTGATGTTTCCTTAGATACCGTGATGAGCGTGTCGCTTTTCTCTTGTTTTTACGTATGTATATACATGCATATATTTTCGTGAATATATTTTAGTATTCATTTTGATTTAATTCAGCATATATAAGTATAAAACGAATTGCAAGCATATCTCTTATTACAATATAACCACATTTAATATCACTGTAAAGTAAGTTTTTATATTGAATTTCATTCCTGTGGTGTGGAAGTTAGGAAAAAGTGGTGCTGTAATTTTAATTTTACCTAGTACTTCATGTAGTAGTTATAACTCAACGTAAATTTCGTTTCGAGACTTGCTGCACGTGCATTCAAATCTAGAAGTGGCATAAATCGGAGTAGGTATCCTGACGTCAACAGTTGGCATCTGGTTGTGGGGGAAGCTCATTTGCGGTGAGGTATGCCTTACAGAGCTGTAAGAATTATGGTTCGTTAAATCTATTTGGATTTTAAATATTTTATGGTATTACGGGAAAGTTTAGAAAACAATATATCAGTTCGAAATCGCTTGTTGATAAATTCAGATAGATGTATGATAGGTAGAGTTTATACCAGTTATCTTTTTTTAAAAAATCACTTTTTTAAAATTTAAATGTAATATTATGTTTAAGGAAATCGGATAAAATAAGTATTAAAATGTGAATTGTTCAACGGAAATATTAAAGTAGAAATGGTTTAATGTGTAAATTCTTAGAACTTTCCGTAAATTTTTTCCTCAGTTGAACAAATTAATGGCAATTCATGTTTCTTACAAGCGATTTAATGGAATCAGGACATCATACACATTCGAAAAATCGATTTTTCAGTTTTCGTTTTAGAACATAGTGCATATTTTTCTGAATCCAAAAGTAAAAATACTTATGTTTGTTGAAAAAAATAACCTTAAAATATGAAAAAAAGTAATTGAAATAAATGTAAAACAAACGTTTTTATAAATGTTTAGTTTTTTCACGTTTTCTTCAAAGCAT